TAATAACATAATATGAACACACAAAAAAACTACAAAAATTATTTAATCCCTTTAATTATTACATATAGTAATGTCTAGAAACAAAATTTTATTTCAATTGAAATTTAAAGAAAGTTAAACTAAAAACGATGAGAAAAAATTTAGGTTGGTGATTTGCTATTAAGTATAAACGGTGAATCGCTGGTGGATAGATATTATCAGTGTGTTGTAAGAATGTTGCATGAAGCAGAACGTGTTGGTGATATCGACTTAATGATTCGGCGATCTGATAATGCCGTGATAGGTGCTTTTTTTAATATTACTTAATAAGAACAAAAAAAAAGTGTAATTCAGTTAGCAAATTATGATAGAGCTATGATGTATCAAATAATTAATTAATTATTTGATACCATAGCTTTAACAAAAAAAGTTTGTCAGTTTTTTCCTTTCTTAAAAAACTGACAATTTCTACTGCTTGTTTATCATTTTTTTTTCAACTTAATTAAGTATAATGAAGCTTAATAAAGTCATAAAAAATTTACAACTTGCAACTAGTTTATATTTCCTATAAGGAATTAACAATATTTCAAGATAAATTACTTCTTTTTCATTCGTTTTTATTAGGTCCACGACTATCAGCGGAAAATCCTTCGGCAGCTACCGATCAACAATCAACAATTTCATTTGATCAAAAACGAGCATTATTTGATGATAAATGCACTATTAAGAATAACAGCTGTAAAGGAATTCGAAAACAAAAACATTCTCCGGTGCGTAAATGGTCAACCGGAAATTTCAACAAACACCCGGAGAATGGTAAATTTTTGAAAATTTCGAGTAGATTTTTAGCATTCATATAAGTAAACATTTTAAAAAAAAGTCAAAGAAACAAAAATGTTAAATGCATATTATTTAAAATGAATTAAATGTTAAAAAAATTGTACAATCAAATTGGCGAAGAAAAATAAGACTTTTTTTGTTGTCTGAGATAGTAAATTTTTACAATGAATTTTTTTCTTTATAAATTTGAATACTTGGACTACTATTTATTGGATAGTTTTAATAATTACATCCAAATATTAATGTGAAATATAAATAAGTGTAGCTTCTTAGATTACCAATAAAATAATAACAGATTAGTTTAACTTTTTGTTTGTCAAATTTTCAATATGATCAAACTGATGGAATTTATTTTCTGAATGCCTTTTGATTTCTCTTTTAGCTCCTTCTGTTACGGTTGCTGCTGTTACACATAATGTGAAAGATGGAATTGTTACGCGTAGCAACTCGTTTTTATCATCATTTTCAACTCCGGATGATGATGATCCACGAATGGCTTATGTGAGCGGAAAATATGTAATGCGACATTCACGCGAACGTTTTTCCAGTCGTACATCATTGGCTAGTAGTACATCATGCTCAATTACCGGTGGTGGAGGTGATCCGGATTATCGTGTCACATCGTTGCATGATAAGCCAAAACCTGGTAAGCTGGCTGATTTCATACCGGAAGTGGAACGGAAAACGGATGCTGGCTATGATCAGGATGATGGTGCTTCCGCTTACAGTTCCAGCTTTTCCAGACGAGGTTTTACATCTATCATTTTTCTTCTCTGACAATGAATTATGTTTAAAATTGGAATATGCGTTCTCTTTCTTCAGTGTTTTTAGGTGTTCAAAGATTAATTCACTAATTGAAAGATTTGATTTCTACTTGTTTTTGAAAATGATTCTACATTGATTCGTTTCTAAGCTCTACCAGTGCTTTATTTATCGGTGGGACATCTTTCATATTCTTAACCGAACAATTGTATTGATTTCAATAATTAAAACATTATTATGACTATGTAAATGAGTATTTATGTAATCTATCAAATTTGAACCCAATCAAGTTTAAATAAAAAATAGCAAATATATTATAGAAAGTGATGTCGACGGTTTTACGAATTTGTTCACCAGTGAGGATGATGGTGAAGTACCGCTTGTATTGCGTAATTATGATATTACGCCAGTTCGAAGCGTCACAACATCACCAATACAACATAAGGTATTCATCAAGTACTCATCAAATTCCCTTTAATTAATTAACGTGTAATTATCATTCCGCTATATATAACACTGTCATTTATTTCACTTTACTTCGCATAAATTACATTTAATTAACTATGAAAAAATTCATCAAATGAAATAGTATAAACATCAAATATATTTTTTTCTGCCATATTTTTACTTAATTCATCCATTTGTTTAAGAGTTATTACGTACACATCTAAGATGGTTTAATTTTTCGTTCTACATTTCATTACACTACCAGATACATTTTAAAGATTGAAATTTTACAGAAAATATTGCCAATACACTTAAAAATTATAATTTTTGTAATTTAATTAAATAACAAATACATATGTTTCTTTATATATGTATGGAGCAATATAGTGTTACTTGCTTTTATTTTAAACTTAGTTTTATAAACGAGGATTATTCTAGATAAGTTATTGGATGAAGAAAGATGAAGCAAAAACGATGTCACTGCCGAGAAATATTGGTGGCGAATATCGACGAAATGGTTATGTGATACCGTGCAACCTTCCAAATGTTATCAAGTCGACCATTCAGGTAAGTTATATATATGTATAAAACAAAATTACAATACTGCAATAGAAAAAAAGATAAAATTTATTTGACAATATTTTAGTAATATTTATGTGGAATATTATAATTGATATATAATTTTAGAGAGAAGTAATAATGCCCGAAGAAAATAGCATCAATGATAATAATGATCAAACGAAGACAACGGTTAGTGTAAAAAGTGAAAATATTTTAGGAAGATTCTAAAAAGAGAGAAATTAAGACAAGGTAAATTTCCTGTTCAACAGAAAACATTCCTAAATATAAATTCTAAAAAAAAAATCTTTTAAAATTTGCTTATTTTAAACGAGGAATTTTTTTTTTGTTTTCAAAACGTTAATATCTACTGTATTTTTTCTTTTAAAAAAAGGAAATAAATTACTTATGTAGCGAAAATAGATTGCCTTGTTGGTATGTGTGTGTAGACAGTAAGAATCGTTTAATCGTTTATTAGGACCTCAGACTTGGGTAATTAAATCACAGCAATAATAACGCAATATTAAAACATGAAATAAGGAGCGCAAAAAATAAACCAAACGCATAACCCCAAAG